CCTCGCATTTTTCAGCAACAGTGTGGAACGGCTGCGCAGCCTTCTGCTCAACAAACAAGATGCTGAAGGGTTATGGGCCGAGCTTGGCGGGAGCTAGACAGAAGCGTAGTCCATGTACGAGGGCGAAAAAACTGCTCTCTGTCCCACCGGAGGCCGTAATTATCTGAACCCGCTCTGATCATCAGGGGGCGGATTCTGATGAGCCGCGTACAAGAAAATGTCGACAGACTTTGCAGTACTAGGGCTAGAAATAAGCACATTTTTTTGTTGTTGTTGAAATAAACACATCTACTCCGAAGCCCTCTTCTTTTCATACGTCAGCAAGACGGCCCTCCGGGTCCCTCTGTAACGGCGGCAGCAGGTTTGTATAAAACAGGATTATGAACCGACGGGTGTAAATAGACATAAGAGAGGCGTACATGCTACGCCATGCCTAGATGCAAAAGAATACACTCCACCAAAAATACAGGACAAACAAAGACAGCGCGTAATTCAGGACATTTATGGTGCAGTATTTACTCCAGCTGCCTTACAGTGCCTCAAGCAGTAGTAATATAACTTTGAACCACGCAGGGGGCTTCAGGGCTGAAGCAATACTTGTAGTGTAAATAAACTGCTACACCACTAACACGCATGTGCACAGCGCATATAAACACCATGGTAAGCAGACTCACCAGGATTGCGTATCTAATAGCAAATCTTCCGAAAAGTTTCTCGTCTGAAGGAGCATAGAGCATAACATGGCAAGCGTGTTTGTAGTTCGCGTATCCTAAGGCGTCTTTCCGGGAAACAGGGTGGCCTTCCATAGCTGCAGAAATCACCTGTTTCTTTCAGAAGCAATAAAAATAATCCTGAAAAAATTGGCGTCAATCGCCAATTGCCATAGCGGAAGCAAACGGTAATCAAGCTGGCCAATCCTCTTCTTGCCCCGCCTCGCCTCGTGGGCACCGCCCAATCACCGGCCTAACCCGGAGCTCACGGCTCCTCCCCGCCAGCCAATGAGAGCAGGAGGAAGACTGCAGTGGGGCGGGATGTAGGCTAGGTGCAGCCAATTGGAGGTAGCAAGGGAACCATTTAAACTTAAATCTCAACTGCAACGTGAATCAGATCCCTGCGCCTCATATTCCAGGACGTACTGGAGAGTAGTGGACGTATCGTGCAATATTTATGCAGTATTGTTTCAGTTTTTGTTTGTTTTGTGGTCGTTCGGCATATTAGAGAATAAAGAATAAACGGGGAAATAGCATGGAGCGGTAAAAAAACATTTTTAAGGATGAATCACAGATATAGGTATCTTTCATGGGTACATTATTTTTTTGGCATCACATGTTTTCTGTTAAAAATACTGAAGAAATGAATGCAGGCTTAGCAATGACACCAGATCAGGGGAAACGAAGTGGGACCTTGGGTGAGAAACAATTTGGATCCAAATGAACTTGAACCAAATAAAAAAAAAACAGCAAAGATGGACTGAATCGCCTCTCGCGTTGGCAAACGTGTGCTTCATTCACGCGGTTGTGAACTGTGAACTGTTCTGTGCGCTGCCAGTAGCTCACGGGGAGGGGGCGCTGTTTCCCGGAACCCACGCCACTCTCAAGGGAGAAACCCTCCCCGTGCCGCCTTCTCTCTGCACAACGACAGCTGACACTCCACACTGGAACAAAAATAGTTCTGTCCCCCTCAGCTCAGTCTCCCCATTTCATGCTTACACCACTGGGAAGCCATTCCAAGGCCTCAGAAATGACTGCAATTCTGAACAGGCTTCCTTAGGAGCATTTCTCAGCCAAGTTGGCAGAAATGGAGAGCAAAGCCCAAGCAGTGCGACCACTCCACTTTTATTACCAATTGGTAATGGTAATGGCTGGAGCTTTTCCCCACCTGGGACTCGAACCCACACCCTTCCCGTTACTAGCCCAGAACCCTGAATGCTGCACCTTATCCAGGCAACAAGCGTGATTCACTCAAACCCACTCACCGTTGTCTGCCTACTGTACTTCCACTGCCTCTGCCCTCTCTTTAACGTTTTCAGCACCATCAGTGCTGCCCACATTAGTAATTGTTGCTTTTCGAAAAACATCACAGTCATGTAACAGATCAGCCCTGCTGTCCTTTTCTTTCTTTCTTTCTTCCCTAGAGACCCACGATTGCCCGCAGTGATTGCTGCCAAGATCAGGATAAAGACGGTGGTTCAGTCACTCAAACACAAGCCTGTTGTTCAAACAGAGAAACAACAGGATGGAGGACAGGATTAATTATCCATTTTCATGGAGCTATGAAAGCTCCAACTTTGTTCCATGCAGACCTTTTGGGACAATCGGAAAAAAAAGTGGTGTTGTTTCCGATTAGAGTGTGAAGCCGGCTGTCTGTTACACTGGCCCGTTTCAGTGGCACAAACAACTCGACTGGAATGAAATGGCTAGTCAGCCTCTCACACAAGAAAAACTGAAGACCCACAATGCATCAGGGTGTTGCAGCGTCCTTTTTATTGGGTCAGTACAGTGCATTTTCCTTGGTGCTTTAATGTCACAAAAATGGGAAACAATGTTATATTAAATTCACCTCTAGAGTCCTCAAATACCAGCCCCATCTTTGACTTTTGTGTTTCCTGGATTCGACTCTTTGGCCTAATCCCTGGGGAGGAGAGGGAGAACCGGCCATGTGTATAAACTGGGATGTCACACACCACTGCTGGAGGGGCTGGTGGTGCCTTCTTGCTTTCTGTATCCACAGGAACAATTCACCTCATCAGTCTCGGCTACACAGGAACTTGTGGAAGTTCTCTTACACTTGATTATGCAAAATGTATTTCATTACAGGTACAGTGGTCTATTGGACCCCCCTTTTAAAAAACAAAATGACCATTATGTAATTCTGGTCAAGTTAATTAAAACAATTTTGTAACCAAGTACTGTGGCGAACAAATTCCTGTTGCCCTTCAGCAACTGAGTATGAGACCCCTGGTTCAAATTGATACAAATTTTAATTTTATGCGGTCACGTTTACGAACTGATTTTTGATCCACGGAGATGCAAACAGCCGTGATGGAGAACGGAAGCCACTCTCCAGTCCGCTCAGTCGTCAGCCCAGAGGCGGCTTGCAATGTGGGCCAGACCCCAAGTCCGTCGGGCGGCTGCTGGAAGTGAAAACGAGAAACGGCCGAGGGCTCAGAAGCTCCCGGCCCCTTGCTGGGGGTTTCCTCGGCGGAGCTGGATGAGCCCTGCGGCACCTGCTTTCCGCTCTCAGCTGAGCTCTCCGTCTAGGCCGTTCTCCATGGACGACACGATCAATCAGGCTTTACTTTTCCCTAGATGGCAAATGGTCAGGGTTTACGAGGCACCTGTGTTTTAGGACTAACGCGAGAATGTGGGGCTGAACACGCTGGGGAAAACGGAGAGCTCAGCTGGAAGGAACAGGCTGCAGACAGGCGTGGGACACGCCTCGCTGGCCACACCCGTCCTGTTGGGGGCGCGGGCCGCGCCAGGCCGTTAGGAGTCGGAGGAAGAGCTGTCCTTGATGTCGGTGCTCTCCGTTGCCTCGCTCACTTCGCTCAGCTCCTTACTGTCCCCACCGCTGTCCTGAGGGTCCTCCAGCTTCCCAGGGTTCACTGGGGCCGTGCCGCCCTGGGGGGGGTCTGGCAGGACCCAGGGCCGTCCTCTGTCCCCCGCCACTGGCTTGCGCAGCTGACCAAGAGAGCAAGAGGAGATTTAACCCGTGGTCACAGACTACTAGTGCGCCGATACTTGGCCAGAAACAGGCGGAGAGAGGGAGCGAGGGAGCCTGCGTTTCGTCTCAGCCATTACCTCGTCTGCCATCTGTGCAAGGTCTCTCTTCATGGCATAGGCATCCTCTCCATCAGCATAATACTTTGGCTCCACTTCACTGATTCTGCACACAGACAGACAGGCATCAGCCTGATGTACACAGGACTGACAGGCAGCTCAGTCACACAGACAGACGTGCCCAAACCCTGCTGCCCCTTCACTGACACTGACAGCTGACCTCCCCTTCACTGTACCTGCCTGCTGTCCCACTGTGACACAGACGCACCGACAGCTGACCTCCCCTTCACTGTACCTGCCTGCTGTCCCACTGTGACACAGACGCACCGACAGCTGACCTCCCCTTCACTGTACCTGCCTGCTGTCCCACTGTGACACAGACACACTGACACTTACTGGAAGTTGAGTGTGTTGGAGTACAGGTGCAGAGCTGCCCGGTTGCTGTGAGAGACAGGCACAAAGAGGGAGAGACAAGAGAGGTTAGTCACAGAGCCTGACAATGATGACACAACACTGGTGTGTGCACTGATAATCTGCAGGTGGGGGAAAAAAGGCATGAAAATCATCTGACCCAAATTCAACAGGAATTACAATAATAAAGCACACTGAACGTGTTATTCACTCCATTTCACTGGGCCATGGGACTGCATGTGCAGTAGTTTGCCTCTCAGGAGTGGGTTGGTGCACTGGCAGTGTGAGCCAGTGCCCAGCTGTGCTAGCATGGCATGTTGACGTCTCTGCACCTCTTCCTGACGTGCAGGGAGACGTATTTGGCGTTGAAGTTCTCGATCATGGCACGGGACGCCTGGTCCATCAGCTTCTGAGCGAGACCCAGCCTCCTGTGAGAGCGCTTCACGGCCTGGGGCAAGGAAACAGAGAGAGAGAGAGAGGGGAATCACTTCCACACGTATGAAAACACGGCAGTGCACTGGCCACCTCCCCGCACACATCACCTGCCTGAGACCATTAACGCGAGAACCAAAACTGATTTCAACATTTAATCTGAGGGGGCCTTGCTGTTAAAATCATCCTATCCTGGTGGGAACTGCTGACAGTGAAACAGTTTTTGTAATACTGCCCACTGCCTTTCTCTGCCATACGCAACTAACTCCCAGACAAGGCACAGGCCGTGCCCACCCCACATGAGACGCAGGCCACACTGCAGGACCATGCATGTGTACCCACAACAGAATCTCAAAACTGGTACAGAGGAAGTGCAGCAGAGACTCAGAAGTGCATTTAAAACAGAAAAGGGGGGGGGGGTGGTCCTTTACCCAAAGGGTTGTGGGAGTGTGGAACAAGCTATCCAGCCATGTGGTTCAAGCCGATAACCGAACGGCCTGCCCTCGTTCCTTTGGGAAGGAGGGGAGCAGAAGGCGCGAGAGAAGAGAGCTGAACAGAGAGACTCACCAGGGACGTGATGTGCCCATGGGGAACATCATCTGGGTCCTCCTCCCTGCGGACACACGGGGAGAGCAGTCAGGCTACACCGCAGGGAAGCCCGGCTGCTTCAAATCACCGAGCTTCCCGCTGTCCGCCAAACACGTGACACCGCACTCAACATCCCAATAAAAATACCTTAACCACTCACGTCTGTCCACTGCCCTCCCTCCGAATCCTCAGCCCACCCCGGAGGCCTGGTCACCTGGGTCAGGGCAGATCTGTAGTCTTCCCCCCTCGTTTGCCGAACAGCTTTATACCGTACAGTGTCGCGGGAAGCCGGAGCCTACACGCCAAGCAACAAGCGCAAGGCAGGGTACACCCTGGAGGGGGCGCCAGTCCATCGCAGGGCAGGAGCAAGCCAATCACACATGGGGACAATTTGGAGGGCATGGTAAAGGCCGAGGGGGGAAATTGGGCCTGGACACCGGACGTTTTGTTGCCTCATTCTGAATCGCAGAATATATGGAGGTCTTACACCACCATTGCGGTTTGAAATGCACTCAATGCCGATTCTTTCTCTTGTGGGAAATTCCTCATCAGAGGAGCAGGACACAGTCTTGTGCAGATTCAGTTTTATTGCGCTCAATAAGTCAACAGGCTGCCGCACAGAACAGATAAACTACAAGGGTTTCCCAGCTCTTATATACAGTCTGAAGAAAGTTTGTTTCACAATCTGAGTGCTTGTCCTGTTCTTTGATATGTAATTACTCCTTGTCCTACTCTGTGGTGCTCTAGGTTCTGTCCTTTGATATGCAGCAGACATTGGTCTGGTTTATCCTGTTTGTGGGTGTTGTTCCTGTCTTTTATTATGTAGCATTAAGCCACTGGGGCTGCTAAAGCAAGTTAGCTTTATGGCATCTTAGTGTAACTTTTGTTTGAGGCTAAATTAACAGACCCCATCAACACCTCTCACAATGTGCTTAAGTGGTGATACTGTGATGCTGGATAAGTGAGATATATACATGTCCCACTTCACTTTCTAACCCCAAAATATAAATATAGTGTTGCGTTACAGTTCCCCTTTCATAGTGCAAAGACCTGCGAGACCCTCGGTTTCGTGAGCCAATCTGCAGTTTTCACATTTTGTCCCCCCCCTCACGATCACCCCGCAGATCGTGGGGAAGAGAACAGTGAGGACAGGCCCCACTCGCCACCGGACAACTGGAATAATTTGGGGGAACTCAAGTGAACTAAACCGACAGGAGGCACACTCACATCTTCGCCAGGACGTAACCCACAATCTTGCCGTTCTCGTCCTCCGCGATGTAGGACAGCTGTGAGAGACAGAGAGAGAGACACAGGCCGTGATTCCTGCTCCACTGCATCATCAACATTCCTCAATGGCCGTGCCTGTTGGCTCGCGGTGCCCAGACACTGTGCTAGCCTGGAGTGCACGAGGAGAAGTGCGTTTAAGAGTGATTCCCATCTGCGGCCGCACCGCTTAAGACACAAACCAGAAGGCTAGTGGACCCTAACAAAACAATACACAACGGGAGGGTATCAGACCACGGTGAATCTCAACACCACAGCCTGGCCAGAGAGACTGGACACAGGCAGCCCTGGCTGACCAGAGAGGACAGGCTCAGTGACCACAGCCTGGACATAGAGACTGGGCAACACAGGCAGACCTGGCTGTCCAGAGAGGACAGGCTTAGTGACCACAGCCTGGCCATAGACACGGCAACACAGGCAGACCTAATTGTCCAGAGAGGACAGGCTCAGTGACCACAGCCTGGCAATAGACACTGGACACAGGCACATCTGGCTGTCCAGAGAGGACAGGCTCAGTGACCACAGCCTGGCCATAGAGACTGGGCAACACAGGCAGACCTGGCTGTCCAGAGAGGACAGGCTCAGTGACCACAGCCTGGCCATAGAGACTGGGCAACACAGGCAGACCTAATTGTCCAGAGAGAACAGGCTCAGTGACCACACCTGGTCATAGGGACCGGACACAGGCAGACCCGGCTGTCCAGAGAGGACAGGCTATGCCTCCCACTGCCAGCAGGGAGCAGCAGAGACAGAGATGCACTTTCTGCTGTAGTACAAGAAGTTCTTCCCCAAGATCTGCTCGCTCTCTCCAAAAGGGTGATGGAGGTGCTGGCAGCAGAGAATACGATCACCTGTCCCGGCCGAGAACCGGAAAAGCGGCTTCCCTATAGATAATATCAGAGCTGTAAAAGTCTTGCCAATTCTTAGTGCGTTTGCAACATGGTTATCCACCGGTCCCGCTAATAAAGCTCTCCCAATCCGAGAGTGGAAAGGCAGAGTTACCTGTGGCCAGGACAGGCCGTGGTAGAAGTAGTACTTCATCTGGTAGTTCTCCGGGAGACACAGCAGGTTGCAGTGCTGCATGTTCATCAGGTCCTCCGGCTACACGGACACGGGGCAGGAAGAGGAGAAACAGCAGGTTAAGCGCCATCACGGGCCCCCTTTAATCACCTCAAGCATCACTCGGGCTCGCCTCCAGAGCGGCAGGAAATACAAAAAAAAACACCCAGTTAGTCCTGAAAGGCTCTCGGCCAGCACTCCTGCGTCTGAACGAGTCATAGGTTTATTCCGTGCTGAAAAGAGAAGACAACACAACGTTTCGGCTGTGGAGCCTTCTTCGGGTGCACCCTTCTTCTTCTTCTTCGGCACACCCGAAACGTTGTGTTTTCTTTCTTCTCTTTTCAGCACGGAATAAACCTATTGTGCCATAACTGTAGTGTGTTCAAGGAGAGGCGCCTCTCCCTCTCCCTCTCCCAGCCCATATCCCCCGGCCAGCCGGCTTCAACTCCTCCATTTCTCCGTGTGTATTCACAGCCTGGCTTCTCAGAAGCAACGTTCACTTACTCTGGCGTTGCGGATGTTCATTCTGTCAGTAGCTGATTCCCCGCAATTCGGAAATATAAATTATATGAAAACTAAACAATAAATAAAACACCCCATAAACTACCGAGTTCTCTATCTGTTACACAGCATGAGGGAGCTCACCTAGCCCTACTTAACCTCATTGCTGAGCCGTCCAATCATATCGTAGTAACTCCCACCCTCTGGGCCCTGGTAGACCAATCAGATTGGGGATTTAAGATTGACAGCATTGTTATCCACTCCTCTTTCTTTGCTTCTTGAAGGAGACGTACCGTAACAAATAAGAAGGAAGCAAAGATAGGTTGTTAGGACACAAACATCAGTAAAACGAATTAACGCCACTAGAGAAGCCTTATAAAGCGGGCGATGTTTAAGAAGTCTAGTTTCCAATTGGGACTGCTATCAAAGTATTTATAGACTTGCAATTTAAATTTAATAGAGGGTTTTCTCTTTCATTTTATCCTGCTCATACCCAAGTTCTGTGTTAATGTCCCCATTTCAGTGTATTTCGATTTATTTTTGTAAATAAATTGAACCTGCAAATGATTATTTATCCGTAAAATACAAAGGTAAATATTCAATGCAAAATAATCTTATTTCAGACTAGCTTGATTAAAATATAACTTACTACACTGTAAAACATAACAATGATAGCAACGATATGAGCTAGCATCTGCATTATATCACTGTGCCAGCTCACAACTGGAAACCCACTGATGCCCAACAGGTGTGAGCCTGGTCAGTACCTGGATGGGAGACCTGGGAAAGCTAATGTTGCTGCTGGAAGATGTGTTAGTGGGATCAGTAGTGCTCATCCTGCAGTCTGTGTGGGTCCTAATGCCCCAGTATAGTGATGGGGACACAAGAAAGTGCTGTCCTTTGGTGTAAAACCACAGTCCTGTTTCTCTGAAGTCATTAA